GGATGTAATGGTTGGTGGTGCCGAAGACAATGAGTGTTCCTATACTGTCTTCAGACGCTTGAAGCCAAGCAGAACATGGAAAAGTAGCGGATAAGGAAACTGAAGCCAGAATTGTTAAAGAAAGCAAAGGCATTGCGGAACATTTATACAGCCTTCATTTACGACATTTTGTGTTTTCTGTTTTGTTTCGAGAACTTAGCGTTTCAAGTTTCTTCGGACAGTTTTTTCCTGTAGTTTACTCTGAATCAGGAGTTTCAAGCTTATTTGATGATGTAAGAGAGGGACTAAACGGTATCTCTTACATAAAGTATGTAATGACCACGAGGTTTATTCGGTGTGTTAATTCGTCGAATGTTAGAGCAAGTTTAGGTTAGAACAGTCAATAGTCGGCCTTGATATTTTCTTACAGAAGCTAAAGGCGTCGACAAATTTTTTTGCTAAAATCTGATTATTATTTTTGTCACGCCATCAGCTAAATTCGTGATCAAATCATTGAATTTATAGCCAGCATATATATCCAGCAAACGATAAAATTGGGCTAGAGCGAACACATCTTGTTTGCTATCAAAGGTTGTGAAATTTGTTATTCTTAATTATTTGAATAAGTTCTCCAAAATCTGCTGTGAAGCTGTGTATGTAACACAGCATGCTATGTCCATTTATAGAAACAACATTTGATGTTGTGTTTTGCTATCATTGACTGTCACGAAACATAAGTCAAAGCAAATTTACCTTTAAACCCTTCTGAGTTTAGGGACTAAGAATGATCAGATGATCTTATTTTATAGAATGAAAAAGTGCAAATTGATCAGCACTGTGTGATCTTAAGATTTGAAGTTTCTATAATTTTTGACAATACAGTCTTCCGTCTAGAAATATGAATAGATTTATTCATAAACGTATGAAAAATAGAATTTCTGCATCCAATAGAACTAGCGGTGAATCCTTATATAAAACAATAAGAGCTATACTGTTATTACGGACTCTGAATATATATTTACTTACAACATCATGATGTTGTTGGGAAGAACGAAATTTTCACACTTGTCCATCATTTGCAAATCACATTTGGCCATGGCAGTGTAGTCTATGAAAGAACAGTTACAGTAAGCAGGGCAGGAATGCCAGAATGTTTTATTCCCAGGCCATCCTCCTGTTACCATTCTCAAGTGAAAAAGGGGCAAAATGGCAAAAATCACCCGATCAATCATTCTGTAAGAGAACATAAGATAGATATGTAGATTATGCACATACGGCGAGTTTACTGACTCGAACTTGTCTCCATGGTATCCAGAATGACAGAATGATCCTATTGCTTGGTAGTAATTATTACTTTGTTGTCCTAGATGTTCCATGGAACAGATTTTTGGAATTGAGGATATTTTTTCAATAATTTCTATTATTTTTGAATTTGTACAAATGAAAGTACAGATTGAGCGATAAGTCTGCCAAAAATGTCGGATTGCTTTTTCTGGTGGAAACTCTAATTACCCTGTCATATGCTTTACTCAATTAATGTTGTCTATTTTGCTTTGTTGCATAGCAACTTTAAAGAAATGATAAAAAAAATGGATCAATAAGCCATAAACTCTAGACCTGAAGAAAGAGAATTATGTAAATTTAATTTCTCTGGTGAAAGATGCTGTTTATAAATCAAAATTAGGGTACTAAATGTCTTATAGTAGGCCACAAACTGTGTGTAAGTAAAGAGACTGACTTGATCCTTAATTTCTTGGGAATGAAATATAGCCCCTATCCCTCCTTACCTTAATTGAAAACTCTAGCATTTAGACAAGGCAGCTTTTTAGTCTGAAGGTATACTTATACAGGAACAATGCTTTTTAATATTGTAGGTTTTTCAATGGAAATAATGTATGCAATAAAGCTTCACTGGGTTTCTTATCAGTTCCCTCCACTTCTTCCCTGATAAGCCCCCTTCTCCAATAAGGCCTCTGTCTGGAAGCCTTTGAAATAATTAACCCTTCCCTAGGAAGGAAAATTAATGACATGATACTTATAAGTATAACTAATTCAGTTTAATTCTACCAACAATTCGTGTGCCTGAATTGTTTGTACTGTGACATCTGTATTTAGTAAAAGCCTTCCAAATGATTATGCTGTCATCACAAAACTTGACATTCTCACATTTATGAGTTTAGTTGGAACTTCGCAAAAGTCATGATTTTTCCGTGTTAAATAAATTATGATTTTACCAAGAAGTTCATGACCTCGTGTAGTTTTCGTTTGACTGTGATGTATTCTGTTAACATGTCTTGTGAACAAAGATAGTCCCTACTGTTACCATCTCTGTCCCAAAAATTTTACTTGTAGGGAAAAGAATTCCGTACATTCTATTTATGCATATGGCGTCGGAAGACAAGGTATATGATTACATGTTTCTCTAAAGCTGTAATGTTCGAGGTTTTCCTAATTCGCCTTATAGTAAATAATTATTGAACACTGTTATGCGCAACTCTAATTTTATAACGTGATAATGTTTGTATTCAAGTAAAATAAATTTCCAAGGGCTTTTGTTATTTTGTCCATCTACATGCACAACCTTCAGAGGATGATGATCGACAAAGTGCATCAGAACTTATCCATTGCGCTTTACCTTTAAATTTTGTCCCACGTCGGTAAAAGTTACAGGGCACCCATAGGAGTCCCATGTGTATTTTTTAAGCCTTTGCCTTCATTGCTCCTACATGTAAATGGCCATTTTAGAGATCGTTTAGCAAGCTCTTTGTGATCGATTGCGATCCGCTTCGCGCGATATTATTTCTTTTAAAGCGATAGGTGACGCCATAAAGTTAATGAAACCAAAGAACTATAAAGCGTTGGAAGAACTTTGAACTTATGTTTTCAATTCTTCTTTAAAAAACAAAACATGAAAATGAAGACGAGGTAGTGTTTTGTTAGTGTTTGTTTTACGTGGTGATTGAGGGCAGATCTTGCATAAATTATGGATGAGGTAGAGAGTTTTTAAAATGTTAAAATCTGGTCCTTTGCAATCCACGAGCTAAGCTATGAAACTAAGGAACGTTTATTTCTTAGTTTTACAGGCGCGTTTCTCACCTCTTGACGTAAAACTGAATGATATAAAGATCGGAGATACATAAATTGAAAAGCAGCTGTCAACATGTAAATTCAACCCTGAAATGAGGTGGTTGAGGAAACAGTTTCTTAGATTAAATACTGTGTATTCTTGGTCTCTTAAAGAACTAGGAATTATTTTTCTCGGTATAAAATTCTGAGATTAATGAGAGATTTTGCAAAGTTAAACGTTCGATCAGTCCACGGAAAGATTTTCCTGCATGTTTTCCTTTGTTTATTAAATGTTTCTTATTCTGTAAATATTGTTTTATTCGTGGGTATCCTGGATTTGGAATTGTTTCCGGCAGAGAGATAATCATTTAGTAACTGCTAACTTTATGTAAAGAAGAAAAAAAGGCTTTGTTTATGGCTAGCCACAGTATGTCAAACTGAAGCATAAGTTTTGAAATATTATGAGGTGTTTTGGGACTAAAAGAAACCAAGCCAACAAAACAAACAAAAGGATTCCCTTTACTTGGAAATGTATTTCACAATCGCCCAAATATCAAAAAAGGGAAAAAGAGACTTCAATGCTTTGGAAATCCATAGATCATTTTAAGACGTCTGACTTGTTGACGAGAGAATACAGCCTATGATAAATGATCAATCGTAGTTTTTTTGAACTGGAACTGATAAATGCGCTTAGTCATCAACAAGGTATAGCAAAAATGAGAGTTATAAAAGTCATGCTTACTTTTGAATTGCCACGTACTAGTTCTGACTCCACTCCTTTATTCTCATATTCTGTAAACTGATTCTTTTCGGTTTGTTAAATTAAAAATTACCAGAGATTTTTTGTATTTGATGTAAACCTATGTCAATGTTTATCAAATTTGCATTTGTATTCCGGGTTCCAGTGGAGTATGTGGTTGTCAAATGTCAGAATTCGATTGGCTGTGGAAAGATTTAAGCAGTGCATATTTGATTAAGACTTAAACGACCCAAAGAGACATTTTTTAAAACCTTCATTAGTGCGAACTAAAATCTGCTCTCACGGTTCTTTTGAGCTGCATTATTTTCAATTCACGCATTTTCCACTTCTGCGAAAAGTTTTTAAGTCTTATTCAGTAAAGCTAAAAACGTTAAAATTTAGTGGAAGTACCGATTTATTCGATGTGCTTACGTTAGACGACTCACAATACGTAGCACACAATACGTTTGGGTTCCAACTTCACTTTTGTTGAACACTCAGATGATTATTCCTAGCTGAATAGAAAACAGTATCCCTCTAAATTTTCTCAAGATTTAAATATATCATTCTGATTTCCTTTGTAAGTGGAACAGTGGATGTTATCTATGAGCGGCAAAGGATCTTCCACATCAAATATGTCAGATCTCTTACCGCTGAGTCCGGTAGGCAATTTGTAAGCTACTTATCGTCTTTAAGCAGAGTTGCACCGCTAGGGGTTTCCATAAAATCAGAGTAACCTTACATTGGAGCAAGCTCCCGTTGCTTTACGAGGTAAAGGGAGGTTATAGGCCTTTCTGATCTATCTGGTGTCGTTTGTTCAGTTTTATGGAAAAATGTTGTTCGGATCATGAAAACAAAATGACGGCATACTGTGTACTTGTAATCTCTACTAAACATTTGTTTGAACAAGAATTTACTTGAGGTAGAATTTGAACAAAGAATAGGATGTGAGTATCAATTGACCGTAAGATATCAAATCCAAAGACGTCGGAATATTTTTAATCTGGCAAAGAAAAGTTATACATTCTTTGCGTGAAGAATGTTAATGAAATGGTAAAATATAATTTACTCAGGCTAAGGCCATTCATATCATTTTCTTTGTGACCTGCATCATGGGCATCTAGTAGTATATTGAAGGTTATTATCTAAATAAATGTGTGTTGTTTTGCATGGTTATATCCGGTATGCAGATACATAGTTTAAGGAATATTTTGTTAATAACGAACGCTGATAACTAACCGAAAACTCAAACTGATCTAATTTCATAAAGGCCTTGAGAGAATAGCTGACCAAGTGGTGATCTAAATTTTAACACCAAGAAATCGAAGCGGAGGCGGGCAAACCAGCAGATTCGTTTTTTCATTTTGACATCGTAATCGAAAAATAATTTTTAGCGTTCAAATTTTATCTAGTCAATTTCTCTATTCTCGAGGACTTTTAAACCGATCCACCAACCGGAATTCGGGGCGCGATCTTCTTATTTATTGCATCTCAGTAAAAAGTAGCTGTCAGTTTGGTGTTAAACGAAGATTTCGCATTTATACGTAATAATTCATTTATTTTATTTTCAAAGCTACAGATTTTTCTTTTTGGCAAATGAAACGATTTCCGTTTGAAGCAAGCATAATTTTGAGTGCACTCTCATGGCAGCGTGCTTCCAAGTCTGATCTACGAATTACATGGCTATTACTTTTTTTTTTAAATTGGAGGCTACTTCCACTGAGTACACCCTAAGCACTAATCGGTGATTTGCATAGCACTCATGACCACCTCTAGAAACGCTTGCCTCAAAATACTAGCTATCTCACTTGTAATCATGAAAATCATTAATTTATCAAGCCCTTGAATACGCGTAAAAGCCATTTGAGACTCCTAAGTGCAAGTGGGCGGATCAGCAGACGTAATTTAAGACCTCTTACTCTTACGTGTAGGGGAGAAAATCTTAAGCCTGGTCTTAGTTTTTTCGTCCGCTTCTAGCTGTTTGTAGCCTTTGTCGGCTAGTAATTCTCTTGTTGCTTACTGTTCAACCGGATTAGTTTAAAACCAAATTCAAAGCGCCGCTAGAAACAGAGGAAACTCGTATGAAAGGCTACTGGAAACTATTTTGTCATTGCTGTCCCTCATTGTGAACAGAAATTAGTCGATGCAAAGTAATGACCCTATTTTATCAGGTGGATGGATCTAAATGTTGTTATTATAAACGCCGAAAGTTTAATTAAAGCTGACTCTAGTATAAATTTACAGGTGGCTTTAAAACTACTTTAACAACCTTCTAGGCATAAACGATAATACACCGTTCAGCTTTGGGACGCAATTACACTTGTTAAGCAATGTCTATCGGTCCGCTAATGACTAGGTAAGTGCCAGTAAAACAATTTCGTCCTACTTCATATGGTTAGTGATAATGACAAGTTTTAAGTTGGCCATTTTTCATCTCTAAATCTCTATTGACAGCGGCCAAGCGATTTTTTAAATACATTTAAACGGTACCGAACCTCAGTGGTTTGAAATGTCTTACCAGGAAAACTAGTAAGTGTTGGGTTATTTCTATGCGCATTTTGATCACGAAGTGTTTTGTCTTATTATAGCTTCTAAATGCGATGTATAAACAATTTTTAGAAAAAAGACTTGAGAAGGCGCAAATGAGGAAATGAAATGAAGAAACCAAAAAACGAAGGACACGATAGTTAATCAAGAACGAAGCAAGTTGAGGCATGGGAACAACGACTTTCTTACTCTAAATAAAAGCAATTAGAACTTGCAGCATTTTCAGTTGTCACCGGTACACCACCTATTAAATGATTTTTTAGGAAATTAACTTTGCATCATTTTTCCGGATTCAATGACCGTTCCCTTTTGAAGTGAACCTGAAATCGAAAACACTCGCTTTTTTATTACCCTTTCATGGGTTCAACTGTCTTAGAGGCCGCATTTGCCGCACTTGCCGCACATGTATAATCCGTCGTAGACCAACTGTTGCGGAGTAGTTTGTCCAGTTGAAAAGACTAGCTTTGAAACTTCCGTAAAACAGCGGCTATTGCCACCGCTGGACAGTTCTAACTATATGTTGTTCCGATATCGCCGGGTGTTTAGACTTTTAAGGACAATCGGTATTCGCAGTATAAAACATTAGTTTAACGACGGGATTCCCAAAGGTAGGTCAAACTTCATTAAAATAATTGATCATAGTATCATGTCAATCACGCCTGAGTCATAGCACTTTTACAAGTTTTAAGTCTTGCTTTGCAAATCATCACTAAGAAACCAAAGGGAAAGCCCTTTTGTTCATTTGTGAAAATTGTTTATGCAGATGGCCACTTTTAAGAGGAATTCAAATGTCAGTGAGGTTCCATTAATTTGTTATCACAAATGCGAGAGCTGATATTTACACTGTAAAGACAAAATTACACTCAAAGAAGAACTGAACTACTCACCAATACCATTTTGATTTTTATGAGTTTAATTTTTGTTATCAGAAAGCTAAGGCTATTTACACAGATTTTAGACACATGGTATAAGGTTTCGGTGCAATATTAATTCTCCGTAGCAATTCTTTTTTGTTTCAAATTTTCCAAATAGCATATAAATAGCTTAGAAGCTAAACCATTTTTGCATTTTGGCAGACAGCTGGTCGATCTCGAAATATCTCGCAATCTTTTCGAAGCCAGATTATAACACAAACATTTTTGTTGAACCTGATCTAGCTATATTAGAATTTATTTTCAGCTAAGTTCGATTTACAAAGTGTTCCTTGATGAATACAAGCCGTAACCTTTTTGGATTGTAGTCCTGGTTCTTGTTTACCAAATCATCTCAGCGAAAGTTGTACGCAAATATAATAAAGAAATTTTTTCCTTCAAAATTTTGGTGCGATTATCGTGCAGTTTAGCCGTCTGAATTAGTTACTTGCTGCATTTTAAAATATTCCTCTTAGGATTAAAGTATTACGTCCCAGATCGCTTATCGACAGAAATGATTTTATAGACTTAAGCATTATCAGGTATTCCAAGTGATGGTCTCACAATAAAAATTTTCCATGATCGGGAGGCACCTGCCCTAACGTTTGTGCTTTAACTAACTTTCCAAAAACAAAAATGAAAACCTAAATTTATCTTTGGATACGTACCTGTAGTTAAAAATTTCCTTTCTTAAAACTGCCACCATCGAACTATTTTCACTAATTCATCTCTTTCACCAATTGGTAGAAGATTACTGAATACTGTCATGTTCTTATTTTCAATGATGCTCAGAGTAAGCAGTTATTGAAAATTCACTTCGCAAGGTGTACCATTCGAAGCAAAGTTCTTCTAAACTGCTGATTGCGCCATACGATTACGCAAGGATTCATTGCGGAACTAGCAAATAGGAGTGTGTAAGCCCACTTCAGTCGGTTTTCTTCTCCTTTTCCCATCAAATCGAGTACCACATCGGGCAAAAAGCATACTAAGGTAGAGCCAACTAAGATAGCAGAGGTCAATGCCGTTGCATTTTCTTGTTCCATGGTGGCGACTTGTTGATGGTAATTGGCTGTTCTCGCCTGTGCCAAAATTTTTCCTCGACGTCGTTTCCAGGACACCCACAGGATTCTAATGTAAGTAAAAATCAGAAGAAGTATCATCAAACCGTGGACGTAAGGACCAGCAACTTTTCCTGGTTCCGTTGCGAGGGTAACCCCAGCTATTATGGAAAAAACCCACGTCAACCCTATGTACACGAGAAGACTGTTCTGCGACACCGAAAGAAGATGATGGAAAGGCCTTGCCAAAGCCTTCATCCTGTGATAAGTTATTGTCGTAAGGTTGAGGAAAACTGCGTGGAGGCCAATGAACGCGATAATCTGAAAGGCTGTCAAGTAGCTGGTGCTGGTCTCGTTGCTAAGGTAGTATATGTACACTGGTTGTGCAATCAGGCAGTTGGCAAGATCTGCAACTGTCAGAGAGACGATGAGCAAATTTAAGCCCTTTTGAAGCTCTGGGTTTTGGTAAATCGTCACGATCAACGAAATGGTCATACAAGTGCCAAATATACTGAGAACAGCATTGACTATACTCAGGCAAACAACTTGTGCAAATCCCATGTGTTAGATTGGATTTACACTCTAAGATCAGTGCGACTTTCGACTTGAGATTGGGATTCAATCTGACGCCGACTGCTCTGTATTTTAACGTACTTAAATCTGTTTTATGCCAGTTGTGACATGTTGAGGTTTTATTTAGTTTTGAGTATTTTTAATTGTCTTAAGTAATCTATGATTACACTGGTTTTGGTTTACTTAACTCCGTGATTGGTCCAGAAAATCCGCACCACCCTTTCAACCAATCGGATACCAAACGTAAGTAAACCGTGACTTTTTCACTGGTTTTTTACGCGTTTGCTTGTTTGTAGCTTAACTCCCACTTCCCACCATCCGTCTTCTTGTGATATCTTATCCTTTGTATTGATTGGTTATCGATCTTATACTAGTCTTTGTTTCACGACGCTCAATCCAAATTCTCCAATAACTTTTTGTGGAGAATTAGGTGATCCTCAGTTGATATTGTAATGTCAATAGAGGCTTGTTGAGGTGAAATGTTTACTCTAAGCGATAAAGCAAAATATTCTTTATTATTTCAGGATCATCTTGTAAAGGGTAGCGCGGAGAACATAATTTCCTGTTCGCTAGGTATGATTAACGTACTGCCTTCGTATGTTGTCTATATGTGTAAGGCTTTTGTATTTAAGTTCGCTCTTATGAGAAGGTTACTGATTGAACATTTGATGTGAAGTGTAGAAAGCAATCGATGGCAAAAGTGATGCATCGCGCACAAAAAGCAAGTAACTTACTTTCGTGCGCTTGAAATGCCTTTTTAGGTTTAAAATTTATAAGAAGGTGACCAGTTTTATTTTGTAAAATAATCTGCAAGCCAATGTATGCGTTCAGCATTTTTTTGGAAGTACCTCGTAACTCTCTATTTAATGAAATCATAACTGTCGATCAACGAACTGTTGTGATGATTTTCGATGTCAAACGTCGATCTATAGAGGAAGATTTTTAAGCACATCGAACCATTATACTCGACGGTTGAATTGCACCGTAATTGTCGCGCAAATATTGCAGTAATGCAATCTAGGGTTTGAGGATAATCAGGCCATACAAACTCAAATTCTCATCCAATTCTTTTTACTGAATTAGGAGTCCTTGCGTTCGTTTTTATTGGTGCCCACTTTTAAATACCAGTGTCGCATAGATTGCCATGTTGAAGTCAGAGAGATAACATCATGCTTTAAAGAACGAAACATTTTTGCATCGACTATCTAGAAGTTGACTAGGTCGTGTTTAGTTTGGGCCTTGTCATCTTTACAAATCTTGTATGACTCGCAATTCTCGTTTTTTCCATAACTTCTTTGATTAACACCTCAGGCTTTCCTTCTTATTAATGCATAAACGAATGATTGAATCCGGACCTAAGGGAAATGAGCAATAAGGCAGCCCGACACTCAGCTTTCATATAAAAACAATGTTCAACCCTAACCCTAGGCAATGATGACAATTATAATAATGATAATGATAATAATAGTAATGATAATAATAATGATAATAATAAATGGGGTCGGTGGCTCAAAACAAGACGGTGGTTCAAACAGCAAAAGGACATCAAGAGCATGAACAAGAGCAGAACAAGTACATTACAACTTTAATTTTTACAGCGGGAAATAATATTTTACAATGTTTGGGTTGAGTTGCGTAGAAACGGTGGAAACGCCTTCAGCTACTTAATAAATACTGAGTACTTTATTACTTCTATTGCCGGAAACTGAAACGCTTAAAACAATCGCCTGAAGGCAAATAGTTTGTTAATCATTACTATCAGCAAATAGGATTGGTAATCATTACTATCGAGTGCAGAATATTTAACTGATAATGAAATAAGCCGCGACTGTGCTCTGTTCTGTTGGAAAGCACGCAGGAGCGGCTTGGGCACGAAAGAAGTGAAGGGGGAAACACGAGACGAAGTCGTGTCTTTTTCCCGACTTTTTGAGCACGGTGTTATGCATCCTTAATTTCTAAGGAGAGAATGCATCGGATATTCCACGTTGGAAGATTAGCGCAGGGCACGAATAAGATCCATCGTGAAGAAATAAGGCGAGTAGAAAAAATTGGAATCTTAAGAAGCACGACAATGTAATAAACTTAACTTGATAAATTACCGACAGATCATTTTAATGAATCAAAAAGTAAAAAGCACTTCAGAACTTCGGAGATTTTTGTAAAATTCAGTTATTTCCATCGTCTGAAATTTCGTATTCAAGAATGAAACAGAACCCGAGCTTTCATTCCGGTATGAAAACAAACAGACTCTTTTACAAAGCCACGGACTCGATATTAACCATGAAATTATTGCCGGGAAGAGAGCAATAGATTGTTTTAAATCGATTACCAAAAGGGAACAAAACCTATGATGAATCGGAAAATAAAAGAAATGATATTGACGCTTTAAATAATTTTTCTTTAGGCCTTTAATTTGGCGTTGATATATGCATAATACTTGATCTGTTCGCGTCGCTTCCGCTCGAAGTGATTGACGGTTTGGCAGTTTTAATAATAATAAGGCAGCTTTAACTGTGATCAACAAAACTAAAACAGTGGAACATTGCACGTTTTTCTCATAAGATGGCCAAATGCGAGCAACATTTCGAAAGGAGTCAGCTATCTTTTCTCTGAAAAAAATGAAAAAAAAAAAAAAAGCCAGAAAACAGCTTGTCTATAGGCTTAGAACGCCAGCTTCATTTTGTCTTCTAACAGCTGTCTAAAATACGCACGGTTTTGCTTTTTCGGAAACAACTTTTATGAAATAAGTCATCAAGCGTCTCTTGCTAACCTTAAAAGTTTGCTCATGCTCTCCGCAAGATTAAGCTGGTAACGACTAGATAAGTATTCATATAACGCCTATCGAAAAAAAAACTTTCAATCTTTATATGTGTACCCTTTATTTTCATGATACACACTCCTCCTCCGAATCAGGGAATTAGAAATCTAATTTGTTAACCTCACGAAATTGCACTTCCTATATCTACTTTACCCGTTCAGTCCCTAAGGCGAAGTGTTTGAAGCAGCGCTCTTCTAAACAGTTGATTACGCCATATTACTATACAGGGATTCAGTGCCGAACTAGAAAACAACAGGGTGTAAGTTCCCATCAACCTGGTTTCTTCCCCTTTCCCCATAAAGTCCAGAAGGACATCAGGCAGGTAGCATAGCAATGTGGTGCCCACCAAAATAGCTGACGTTATCGCAGCGGCGTTTTCATGCTCCATGGTGGCCGCTTGTTGGTGGTAATTGGCTGTCCCCGCTTCCTGAGCGATTTTTGCACGTTTGCGTCTCGAAACCCACAGCATTCTCAAGTAAGTTAAAATCAGAAGAAGTATCATAACTCCATGAACATAGGCACCAGCCTCTTCACCTGGTTCCGTAGCGAAAATAATACCAACTATAATAGAAACGATCCATGTTATTGTTATGAATACGAGGAGATCCCTTTGCGACACCAGCAAAAGGTGCGATAAAGGTCGCGAAAGGGCTTTCATTCTGTGATACGTGATCGTTATGAGGTTGGAGAAAACCGCATGGAGACCGATGAAAGCGACAATGCGAAGTGCTGCTAGGTAGCTTGTGTCGCCCTTGTTGCTAAGATAGTAGACATACATAGGTTGTGCAATCAAACAGTTTACAAGATCGGCAACTGTTAAGGACACGATCAACAAATTTAAACCTTTTTGTAGCTCTGGGTTCAGTTGAATGGCCAGTACCACCAAAATGTTCATTACACATCCAAAAACGCTGAGAAATACATTGATAACGCTCAGGGAAATAACTTCAGCAGATGCCATTCGGAAAGCCAAGCTTGATTCGGCAGCACTGTCAATTGAGCTGAGTTCAGAGATCTTTAAACTGAATATGACTTTTGGCAAACCATTGTTTGTTCTTTTTGGTATAAACACGCATGTCATTAAATTACAAATTTTGCATTTGTTTGATTTCCATGGGGGTGACTGACATATATAGATTTATTGCTAGTCATCATTTTTTCCCTTCAGATATTTTTTTTTCGAATTTTTGACTCTAAAGTACACCTCTTCGTCTTTTAGGATGCAATTTCCGCAGTTAACTTATCGAGTTGTTTCACACATCTCTTCGCGCTAAGCTGCGGTGAGACTGCGTTTTGCCTAGTCCAAGCAGTGTATGTTCAGGTGTTGTCATCTTTGACAGGAATGAGTAATGACACCTGCTCCATTGACCAATAGATTTGACAAATTTGCGCTAGTCTTGATATTTGAAAATCGAAGTGACCATAGACAAAAGCAAACCGTTTAAAGGGTAGCTGACGCCAAAGTTTTCCCCTTTTTTGTCCCAATGCATTCCTCTTAGGTTAATGAATCCTAAATGAGCAAATAAACGATATACTGTGCAAAATCAAATTTTCTACAATTTTTTTTGACACTCAATCGACGGCCATTTTGAAAACATTCCAATTCAGGTCACGTGACGTGACGATAAGCGTCATGTCAAGACCTGAAAGTAACAACGTCATTCTCGCTGTCCAGCTGCTTCCGAAATTTACCAGCGGAAAAAAATAACATTTGCTCCATTCTGTTATAGGCCACCATTTAGAGACTATGTTGCCTGTGACAACCTTTGAATAAAGGTTGTCACAGGTAATTTGCACGCCATTCCAAACAGCTGTAAAAAATATATATATTCCCATAAATTTTTTCCTCTTAACCATTATCGAGCTCTATACTTAAAGAAATATTTTTTAAGTCCAAGCCGAAAAGTGTTTGACTTTAGACTTTGTCCGGCGTATATCACTGTGACCTTAGGCCCATCGGTTCTGGAGTGAGCGTGACAAAGCGCAAAGTGTTGTCGCGTATTATGGGAGTCGTCATTTGGTTTCGTAAACGAAACTCTTCTTCCATGTTTTGGAAATGTACAAAATTTATCCTTTTTTTATTTTTATTTATTTATTTTTTGGGGGTGGGCATAACCAGTCATCAAATATTGCTCTAGCAGCAAAATATTGGTAACCCTCATCTTTCACG